GAGTTCTACTAGAACTCCGGGATGAAAGTGCGTTTTGATATTGACATCTGAGTAGAATAGCTCACACATGCAGAGGTTCAGAATTCCAAAGCCTTGGCGCTTCGTTGACGAGAGTCCAGGAATGTCGAGTTAGTGCTTTATTGGCTTATTAACCAACTCTTGCTACTTCAGTGAGAATATATTCCACTTTTCGACTGCAAGCTGCCATTGACTGTGTCGTTCTTGAGGAGCGATTTCTGACGTGCTATAATGGCATCGCGCTGTCAGCCTCCTCTGTTCAGAAGGGGTAGGGACTCCGTTGCTGACTGGTAACTTCGTTGTCCTTCCTCGTCTTCGTCGGCGGTTGTTGTGCAGCTACTCCTTCCTCTGCCAGAGAGGGTTGTCCAGATTCGACGTTTTTTACAGTTTACCCAGTCACTGGTAACTATAGTGACAACCAAGTTATGTTTTTTGATGACAGCAATTTCGTGAAGGCCAGATTGCTAAGTTTATCGAGATTTCGCTACAGCTTGTCACCGGGGACGACGAAACTTGCAGCCCATTCCACGACTACTTATTTGTACCAGTTATTCTTCATGTCTACAAGTTGTTCTTTTATGGACTACCCATCGATGGGCCAGATGGTCAGCAGCTGGTCGCATTGGCAATAAATATTTATATATGAACAACTGTAAATAGTAAGGTAACAATTAATTGACTGACAACGGGTAGTCCGGATGAGCAACGAATATCCGGTTCCTCTGTCCTCGCTTTCTTCAATTTCAACTCAGTGCGCATCTTTTTCGTTTTGGAATTTTTGAGGAGTTTTGCAATCTGAGAAATATACAGGAGCGTGGTCCCATGATCCACAAGAATGCAATTGCTAATGTGAAGCTTCGTGAAAGTAAAAGGAGGTTGAAAATCGTTAAGGGGGCGTCTGATGGCTTGTTATAGTATCACCGTAGCGGAGGTAGTCAAAACACTGCACTTGGAAAATGGGTATCCAGAGATAAATGAGGTCTAATTTGTCCACCTGTGGTATCTGGATAACATTATCACGGATCTCCAGAAGAATTCAAAAGGTGAACGACGCCAGCATCAACGTAGGACTGAAAAAAACTCCAATTATGTTTAACATGTAGT